CGCACGCACGCACGCACGCACGCGCACACACACACACACACACACACACACACACACACACACACACACACACACACGCACACACACATTTTCGCTCGCGCGCGTTCTGCCCGCACTCGCAAACCTCACACCTTTGCCGCCACGTCGTCCACGCGCCCGGCAGCCGCCACCACCGCATCAAACGTGGCCAGCGCAGACGCCCTCAGCTCCTCCAGCGGCGGGCTGAACGCCACGGAGTCGCCCTGCGTCGTTCGAAAGTGGTTTGGAGCCGGCCCGCAAAGCAGTGCCCGTTGATGCGAGGCAGTGGCAGCAGGGCGAAGCTGAAGCACTCTTGTCGGCTCCAGTGAGGGTGCTCAGCATGGGCATCTGTCGAGGGAGGGGGAACAAAACACCCTCCCAAAGAATGACCCGGAATCCGTTATGGTTGACAGGAGCATGTACATGTGAGGCCTCTTCCACACACCTGCAGCACCAGCTGCGCCGCAAACAGCGGCGGCGGGTGCGGCGTGTACGCGTCGCCGCCCCACGACGCAAAGGGCCCGCGAGTGGCGCGCCAGTGCGCGTGCGTGCTTGCGCCCGCGTTGCCGTTGCGTGCCGCGGCAGTGATGGCGTCGGGGTGGGCGCTGGGATAGCCTGTCGGCGGTGGGATGATGATGGTTGGTGGCGTGATTGGCGGACGGATGGGCTGTTGATGGTGAGTATGATGGGTGGGACATTTCACGCGAAATAATACAAGGGGTGAAACTCAACAGAGCCTTGTTCGTGCGCTCGGCAGCGAGGCGCACAGCGAAGCTCGCAGGCCTGCACACACATGCTTGCGCCACCCCACACACAGACACATGCACCCGCACGCCCGCACCCACCCAGCCTCCATCCCCCAGACACACTAACACCCCCCCTCCCCCGGCCCGCACGCACGCGCACGTTACAAGCCAGCACAGGCGTGCGTTCGCAAGCATTTGTAGCCGCCAGCCGGACCACGTTCGCAAGAAAACAGAAAGATCAGTCGCACCCACCTGCCAGCGCCTCGGCGCCGCCAGGGGCAGTGTCCAGTGCCTCCCAGAATTCGGCATATCGCCCCAGGCTGGCCAGCACGCAGCCAGCCAGGTCGCGGCCCATGACGCGCGCGATCAGCCGCGCGCAGCGCAGCGCGGCGGCGGGGTCGGCGGGCGGGCCCTCCAGGTGGACCTCCTGAATGATGATTGATGCACACAGTATTGTGTTCCTTTCGTCAGCATTTGGGAAAAAGGCGCACGACGCGTGAAGCGGAAGCTTGCTTCAAGGGTGCACGTGCGCCCCAGCGACTACCTCCTTGTGCATCCTGGTGAGGTTCACGACAACGCACGAGCAGCAATGCAGCGACCTTCTTCATGCGCCAACAGCCAGAGGCAGCAACCATCCTTTTCAAAACACAACGCTAATTCCCCAGTCGGCAGCTCCCTGCTCAGCCCACCCCTCTCCCCCGCACAACACACGCACGCACACACACACACACACACACGTGCGCATGCATGCACCATGCAGAACATGTTTGGCCCCTTGAACCCACCTGCCGCCGCCTGTCACCTTCCGGCGTGTCCTCCTCTTCGTCATATCCCAGGCTGTCACCAGGGCCCTCCGCATTTGCCCTGCCATTGATTGGTTTGCGTGTGCACTCCATGGGTGCGTTTGCAATGTTTTGGGACGGGAAGGCAAATAATATTCTGGCAGCTGTAGAACAGGACTCCCAGCTATCAGGGGGTACGGCATTGTTGCCCCGCAGTGTGTACGCCGTGCATCGCCCCACCTGTCACCAATCCTGAGCAGCTCCTCGCAGATGTTGGACGCCTGATGTGTGTGTGTGTGTGCGCGTGTGGGGGGGGCGGGGTGTCGGCATAAAGCATGCGGGTCAGATAATCTCACAAAGCCAAGGGCTGACACAATACATCGCAACGGGCTTGGAGGGGTCACAAGCACAGGGTGGCGTGCACACAAATGCGTGTGGCAGAAAGGTCGGCCAGTCAGGCGCAGTCTCTGTGTGAATCTCTTTTTTTGGGGGGGGGGGGACAGCAGCCGCCCGCACCTTCATGGCCCAGTCGCACTGCAGAAGCTCCATCTGGGTCTCGAGGTGCTGCCTCTGCGGATTGGAGCGGTGTCAAAAGGTGCTAAGAGTAAGGGGGAAGACAAGGACAAGATCACAATGGGCTCAGGTGGCCTGCCCTGCAGTGAATACAGTTTAGGGTTGAGAGTTTTGAAGGTACACCGTTTGAACATGGCGGAGGCAGAGAAGAGGTGCAGGAAAAAAGCGGGGACATGGGGTGTGACGAAGGGAAAACCGCCAGGTATTCTGAGACAATCACCCTACAGCATTGTAATAAATCAACGCGTCAACAAGACACAAAGAACAGCAGCCTCCCCGGACACCAGACTGCTGCCCGGCCCACCACACGCGAAGCTGATGCAGCCGGCGCGCCCGCACGCACCTGGACCACCATGAATGTGGTCAGCGGCGCCGGCCGCTGCAGGTCTGCTTGGGTGGTGTCCACCAGGGGCAGGCCCGAGATGTCCATCAGCCTGTTTGTTTTTTGGAGCGGTGAGTGTTTGTGACCCAGGTATACGGCGGACGTGCACAAGAAAACAAGATGCACGGTTTGGTGGGCGGTGCGCCCGCAAGGGAGCTTTCAAAAGACAGGCAGCTGCAGAGCCCCGCACAAGCAGGGATATGAGCAGCGAAGGCGCGGTCGCGGGGTGGGCGAGCTCATCGCGGGCGTGCTGTGCTCATCAGGCAGCCCAGCTGGGGGTTGGGGGTGCAGCAGGGGATGGCTGAAGGCGGCCTAGTCAGCGCTGGCGGGGAAGGGGGATGCACATGCGGGCGGGCTCACCCCTGGTACAGCTGCAGGGCGTTGAGCAGCCGCGGGTGCGCCAGCGGCGACAGCCGCTCCACCTGGCGCAGCGGTTGGGCGGGTTAGAGCGGTTGTGGGGGCGGCGTTCCTTCAGTCGCACGAGAGCGAATCGATTCAGTGAACCCTTGAAGCTGCGGCATGCGACGAGCGTTGTCTAGCTGCATGTGCAGGATGAGGTCGTCCCGTTACATTGCTGGTGGCCAGAGGTCACACTGCTGGTGTGCACAACATGCCAAAACCTCCCAGCAATGCCAAGATCTCCCAGCTCAGGGCCAACCCCAAGATCAGGGAGCAGCAGCAGCCCCCCTCCCCCCCGCCACACCTGGGCCAGAGCCACAGCAAAGCCCTGCTGCCCGACGTCCTCTGAGCTCCAGATCACACCGTTGGCCGCGGCGACCTCACGCCCCGGCGGCAGGCCTCCCAGCGGCACGCAGCCCTGCGCACGCATGCGGATTTTCATGGGGGGAGGGGGAGCGCAGGCGGGGTGTCGGCGAGTGATGCGCAGCCTCTGTTGTCCCCACGCGACATGCGAAGTGTGGGCACAGAGAGCTGTCCACGTGCCTTGATGGAACGAGCGTGCTCTCTTGCCAACGACGACAGCCAGGCCGCGCACCTGCCGGGGCGCAGGCTGCAGGGGCACCCGCACGGGCGCGATGCCGGCAGATGACAGGTGCACCGCGCCCTCTGGCGTCTCGAACTGGCCGTCCACGATCGCGGCGTTGACGGCGAACGCGTACAGCTGGGCACACCCAGAGAAGAGGGCTGCGAGTGGAAAGGGGGGGTGACGACGCACGTGCGTGGCGGCCCGCAGCGGTAAGGGCAGTGTGGAAGGAAGACATGGGAATTCGGGCAGGCTGGGAACAACCCAGCAACTGGCAATTTGTCAACAGGGGTGCGAATGCCGGGCGCTGGACGCACACAGGAATTTGGTAAGCCAGGCATACACATACCAAAACGTGTTGTATGGTGACAGGCCTGTTATGAAATCCCTTCCCCGTATGCGAAACTCCTAGTATCTGAAATCACAGCAAGCCCACCTTCAGAGGCCGCCGGGTGCCTGCTGACCAGGCCGCCCCCAACACGCCGCGCGATGCGCCGCCGCCAGCGGGCGTCCTGCAGCGACCGGTTGTGCAGCGGCAGGCGCTCCACGTAGCGGCAGTAGCGAGCCTCCGCCTCGGCCTGGGGTTGCAGGAGGGGGCACACAGTTGTGCAATCACCAGTTGAAAATGTCATGAGGGGAGATGGGATGCAACTTGCAAAACACCGTATCACAGGGAAGCTGCGATGCAGCAGCGGCAGCAGGCACGCCAACGGGGCATTTTCACTCTGCAATCAGGCCCCCTGTGCGAGCTGTTGTAGGATCACAGTCAACGACAAAACCCTGGGGTTACGCAACCCAAGCGGCGGCCGCGCCCACCTCGGCCTGCCGCCGCCGCGCCTGCTGCAGCCGGAATCTGAAGCCAGCCGCGCTCTCGCCGTCAAACAGCAGGTTGAGCCGCTTCACCCACTTGGCCAGTCCGTTGGAAACCCACACGACGCGCCACTGGTCCTTAGACCTGCATTTTGGGATGAATGTGCTCAGCCATGGCAGCACGGTTGCAAATTGACGCCATGCTCCAAAACGGATCCCACCCTGGCGGTGGCGCAGCAGCCCGGCGCGGCGCTGCGGCGGCCCCTATGTGGCGTTCAAGCATGCCAACTGGCCGACCTAGAGCTCGGGCGTCTGCAGCGAGCTCCAGCCGCCGCCAGTCAGGCGCAATGCATAAACCCCACAGTTTCATCTAGCTGGGTGCTGAAGCGGGGCGGCGGGCCGCTCTCCTCCGCTACGACATGACGTAAACAAGGATACCGACAAGCAAGCAGATGCTGCCTCACCCATCATACTCCACCGCCGTGCACGCCGCCCAGCCAAACGCGCCGCTGGGGTCGTAGAACCTCGACCGCGCAGGCAGCCCAGCCGCGCCGCCCGCCAGCGCGGCCGAGAGCAGCGCGGGCCGGTCCGCCGCGTCCATCTCAGGTGAATCGAAGAACTCCAGAGGCAGCGCCGCGTCGGTCTTTGTTGGGAACTGCGGCGCGGGTGCGGGCGCCACGTGTCTACTCGGGGGCGTGTCGGCTCGAAATTTCACGAGCGGTGCACGCCAACAGGGGTGCGCCGTCTGGAGGCGGCCTTTGCAGCGCTGGGCTCTGTTAGGCAGCTGCTGCCCATGAGGCGCGCTGATGTCACCTTCAGGCCTGCGATTCCTCCCTGGGCCCCTTACCCCCAAACTCCCTGCTGCGTCGTGCACTGAACCAAACCCACCACCCATCAAAGACAAGCCGTTTCCCAACCCTTGGGTGCAGCCCTTTCCCCCTCTCGACTGCACCTGAGCGGTCTTGGGCCGTATTGTCGCTGCTGCCGCGTCCTCGCTGCCCCCGCCGCCAAGCACCCCATCGTCCCCAACCGGTACCCACGCAAACGGGTCCTCCGCAGCTGCCGCCGCCCGGCCGCCGCCGCCGCTGCCGCACCCGCCGCTCGTTGGTGCTGCTGCGGCGGCAGCCCCCCCCGCTGCCGTTGCGGATGCCGCAGCAGCCATGTCTTCCCTGATACCACCCAGCAGGTGGGTTCGCGGCGGATAGCTGCCGCCCGCCCCGGGATCGTACCGCAGGCACATGCTTGCCGCCACCGCAGCCGCCACGGCCGGCGCGCCATCCACAACACCACCGGCATGCTGTCCTGCTGAAGCTGCAGCGCTCGGCGCGTCATCAGTGACACCTGCATTGCTGAAAGCGACACTTTCCTTTGTGAACGCATCCTCCAGCCCTCCAGCGCCGCCCGCCAGGGCCCCGGCGACGCGCCCTGACCCCTGCTGCTGCTGCTGCTGCTGCTGCTGCCGCCCCAGCGGCCGGGGCACAGGCCGGCCGCGTGCCGCCTTGATGCCTGTCAGGTTGGAAACACAACATCTGGATGTCCTCTGGCACAACCAAAGCATAAAGACCGACATAAAGTTCATGTGTACCTCCTGCTGCACATATCATGAATCCTGTTTGTAGGCAGTCCGACACAGCCTGCGACTGACACAGCGCATCGCGATTTTCTCACCTCCGCCAGCAGGGTCCCCCGGTGTGTTGAGAAGCGCAGCGTTCCCCGACGCCGCAGCCGCGTCAAAGAGTGCTTTGGGCAGACGTATCTGCGCATGCATGAAGGCGTGTGTGCTCGTCGACATGGGCTCGAATGCAAGACTGGGGCCAGGCGCCAGCATACGGCACATGCAGCAGGGGCAGCACGAGCAGCAGCTCGGCAACGCCGCCGACAGAGGGTTAGTGCTCGCACCTTGACCGGAGCCGAGGATCGATCCATCGTCCTCTCCTCCTGCCGTAGCCTGCAGAAAACACGCACGGCTCGATCTTGTGTTGACCTGATCGGACCCCGGTGATCTTACAACTTTCAAGGCTCACCTGTGTTCGGAGCCCATCCAGATGTCAGACTACATATGAGCCTCACCGCGCTGTCCCATACACGCCCTACAAGATCGCCTCGCGTTCTTCAATGCTTCTAGCGCTGCATCATGCAGGCTGCATGGGTCAATTGTACAGTGCGTTATGATGTGCCGTCGTTCCAGAGCCGAGATAATTCAGTGGCATTCAATACTGCCGTGGTGACATGGACATGAGGGCGGCAGCCGCGCCCGCTGCACTGCGGCACTGGCCATCTCCCACCCGCAACGAATTTTCCACGATGATCGCGCATTACACAGCCGATCTGCTCACCAGCCGCTCCTTGAACAGCGCATACACCCGCCGCACCCGTGCCAGCTGCGCCTCGTCCCCTGCCGTGCCAGGCGCGGCCCTCCACGTGGCAGCGCGCTTGTGCGGAGCTGTCACAAGAAACGCCCTGGGAAAGACCTGCACAAAATGGTATGTCATCATGCAGACAGTCATTGAACCCATCTCTTTGGTAGCCAGTCGCTCCTGATGGCATGCAGTGTCCACACAGTAAAAACAAGCCTCCTGAGCGTTCAATCAAAGCACAGTCCAGACGACCGGTCCAGCCTACCCTCCGCACATCCCAGCCTGAAGCTTCGCCCATAGCCCACCTTAAACCTGAACCCCAGGGAATTCAGGTGCGTCCCCATCTGCACCTTGTTGAGCCCGTAACCCCTGAACGCCTCGCTCCAGGGCGGAAGCTGCCGCGCGGCCGCCACCCCCACCGGCTCAAAGTTGTCATGCCAGTTGGCATCCAGCAGGCTGTCCAAGCCCTCGCTGCCCTGGCCGCCATGGTCGGTACTCATTCCGTCGCTGCCGCCGCCAAGCGCCCACCACGCATCGTAGTTGACCGATGGCGTCTGTTGCGGGAACACTCCGCAGTGGAACGGCCGCAGGCCGCCAGCAATGTCCAGCTGGCGGAGCCGCTCCTTGGTCCGCGGCAGGGGGTCGCTGCCAGCCTCCCGCTTGCCCTGCCCAGCTGCCGCAGCTCCGCCTCTGCTTTCCAACACCACGGTCGATCCCGCAAGGCCGCCAGCGGCGGCAGCGGTGGCTGGGGTCGCGGCCTCGAACACCGGGAGGACCAGCATCAGAGGGGCCCCGCCGGGCGTGCTGGCCGCGACGAGCACAGCACGCGCCGCGGCCGACAGCTGCGCGTTTGAACACGGAGATTTGGGCGTGAGGACGTCAGCATGGGGTTCATTGTCAAAGGTGCAGGGCCCATGCGGCCACAACGGGCCGAGGGCTGTGGCAAGCTGTGGTCAAATCGAGGGCGGTCCGATGCAGGGCAGGACAGGGCCGTCGTCATCCCCTTTAGTGGCTGTGCATCCATGCATGCGAGCACACTTGTGCGTAAGCACAGGAGCTAGTGCCAAGCAGCACCCCCGGTTGGGCTCCCAGCACTTCAATGCGATCAGGCAAAAGCGCCCGCCCCTGCGCGGGGTCAGGCGGGCGAACCTGCGGGCAGGCGCCCTCCTCCCCACTCAGCCCTTCCGCCAGTCCCTCGCTGGGGATCAGGTCGGCGTCAGCCTGCAGCACCAGTGGCGTGGTCACCTGTGGGTGCGGGATATGCACAAGGGAGGGAGGGGTTTCAATCAGCGCGTGGCGGACGCAGGTGACGTGGGTGAAGAAGTACAGTGGAGCTGATCTGCTCGAGCCATCACCTGTGACCGGCAGAGCCGGGTGCGTGGCTGGTTAGTGCAGCTGGGTCACCGCCGCTTGCTAACACTAATTCAAAGCTGAAGCCCCTCGCCTCACCTGTGAAAGAGCCAGGTTCCGCAGCGCGTTGATGGGGTACAGCTGGTCGTAGGATGGCGCATCCTCGGGTGCAGGCGCGCCCTGGTTCGAGGCGCGTGGAGGGCGGAAGGCGGCACGGTTACAGAGGCCAGAAGATTGGGGCCAAGAGCTACTAGAATCACAGAGGCACAGAACTCATGCCTCGTGCTGCCACAGCACAGGGTGACAATCAGTTTGATCCTATTGCTGCGATTCGCGCGTGCAAGCCCCCACGCCAGCAGCACCGCAAAACGTTCCAACGGGCGGCAGCGGCACATGCGGGCCGCACGGGCCTGTCGCCGTTTTCCTACACACCTGCACGACACACCTGCGGCAGTGCTGACGCGCCCTCGCGCGCATAGTGCTTTGCGTAAAGCATCGAAACCACCAAGTCTTGGTGAGGGTGCTGTTCGCTGTAGTGCTGGGCCAGGCTGAACACCAGTCGCTCCGCAGCTTCCGCGCTTGGATCCCCAGCTGGGCAGGGGCAGTACACGGCGACAGACGCGGGACCACCCCATGCAGCGGCCTGGCGGGAGAACGCCGGCCAGCGGTCGAGGCTGACTTGTGTAGCCAGCGTCACCAGGGGTGCCACAGATGGTGCAGGCGCTGCTTGGGTCGCTCCTGCGGGTGCCGCAGCGGTGCTCGGCCGGCGTCCAACGCGCAGCAGCGGCGCCTTGGTCGTGAACAGGATTGGCTGGGGGTCGAAGTCTGACAGCGCGCCATCCCCTGCTCTGAGCGGCACTGCTGCGGCGCGGCAAGTGACGCGGCAGCAACAGGGGTGTCGCGGCGCAGGCGCAGCTACAGGAACATGCGCCAGGGTGCTTTGACACATGGTAAAAAAATGTAGTGGATTATTACATACGTTGCAAACCAGCTCGTCGACACTTATCACCGCGGTTGACGCGGTTGATAGATCTGTACAGTACACAGTATGTTTGCAAGCGTACAAACACGGTGCGACACGGCTTTATGGGAGCATTACCCAACGAAACTGCATGAAATCAGGGCGCCACACCAAGGACATCACTGCGTCGCGCACGCCGTTCAGCCACGTGCCTGCCGCGAAGCGACAACAAGTCGCGCGCAACCCCCTTCAACAATCGCGCCGGGCGATTGTTAACCGACTTAGTGTGCCAGGCGTGCCATGACCAGCGCCGGCGCCTTGGCGCTCAAGGCATCCTCAGCCCCAATGCGAGGAGTCACTAGCCCCTATATATGCTGAAGCTGAGATGCTGCTGCTTTGGTCCCCTCCTGCTGCAGTAATTGTCCATAGCTCCCAGGTCACTGGCTTTGAAATCAATGTTCAAGACGCTTGCGATTCTTTGATAACACGTCCACATCCATACAGATGCCAGGTGTCCGCCCGCAATACAAGGTTGTGCCGGCAAGGAATACCAAAAAAATTGACTTCCCAAGGTCACAGGAAATTCTTGAGATCAAGACAAGTCTCACAAGAGCTCTCCCGGCTCAAGCGCTCAACCTGCAAACTTGATCCAACCTGAAGCCGCACACACCATCAGTGCACCACAAAGCAGCATGAGGGCCTGTGTTCAGTGGGAGTGGTGCAACGCGGCAGGGGGCAACGTTTAGCTTAAGGTAATGTGTGGCAGCTGAACCCCTCATGCCAGGAACATTATAAGGGTTTGGGCATCTCTTCAGTCTGTTGCCAACGACACCGCTTCGGCTGCATTTGTAAAAAGTATCAAGATCCGCCCGCCGCCGCCCGTACGCACCGTCATCGCGCCAGCAAAGTGGCGCTGGCTCATCAGCCGCTGCAGCGAGTGGCCGAGCAGCAGTCCCACCGCGCCGGTGACCGCGGTGCTGACGTAAAGCCAGGCCTCCTCGCGATGCAGCAGACCAAACAGCCAGTAACCAATCAGCTGTGTTGGGGACCGCCAGGGTTTGTGAGAGCGGAGGTGTGCATACCTCAATGAGCTAAGTTGAGGGATCCCAACACAAGGCCCAAAGACCACTGCCAATCAAGGAGAGGCCCAGGTTGCGGGCAAGCACAGGGCACCCTTGCTGCAGTGTCATGCTCACGCATAGACACGAGCGAGAATGTGCCTCAGCCCACCCTGTGTATCAGTGCACACCATGGAGTGCAAACTCAACAAGCAGGCCAAGCAACTCACGCGCACCCACCTGGTCCTGCACCATGGCAACCAATGAGTTGGTGGCGCGCACTTGGTCCTTGGAGGCGCCCAGCCAGGCGTACATGATCATCATGGGGGGCCCGTGGATACCTGCGGTGTGCGCGGCGCAGTACAGCGTGTCGCAGCGCCGCCAGTTGTGGCCCATATGCAACGGGAGGGGGTGAGTAGCGGCCGCACCCACGTCTCATGCACCCAACGGCTGCCAGCAGGAAGCACAGTGACCGGCACGATTCTAAGGAGCCAGCAGGCACGCATATTATCTGAAGTCTTGCTGAGCATTCCACGCTCACCAGTTGCGCCGCCAAGCACGCCAGTGCACACGCCAGTGATCGTGCCGATCGCAAAAAGGCCCCAGAAGCGGCCCCACGTGTCGGACGCCGTGTGGTTTGGGGCGGGGGGTGGCTCTGGCAGCGCGTGGCCGCCCTCGCTGCCGCTGTCGCTCGCAGATTCAAGGTTGACCACGGCGTCTGCGCTGCTGAAAACAGAAGCTGCAGCCCCAGCCTCGTCCGGGACGTCGCCATTGCCGAGGCTCCTGCTGCTGCTGCCGCTGTCACTACTGCTGCTGCTGCTGCTGCCGAGATCGTAAGTCTCGACCAAGGGCAGCAGCAAGTCATCGTCTCCGCTGCTGCTGTCAAGCTGCCGCCGCTGCTGCTGATGATTCCGCCGCCGCTCAGGCGCGGCGATGTCCGCCGCTGACTCCAAGGATTTGCTGGCACCGCCGCGGGCGCGCGCACCACCGCAGCAATGCGGGCGCCGTGCCCATGAGGCCGCCAAGAAATGCGCCAAGTGCGTCCGGTTGATCAGCAGGATCATGATAAGCATCAACACGGCCACCACCGCCTCAAGCTGGCGGGCAGGTATGAACTTGAGCAGGAGCGCGCCAAACGGGGCTGCAAGTGCCTGCAAAGCGGCGCGCAACACAGTAGAAGAGCAGGATGGGTTCAGGTGCCCCAAAAGGATGAGGAAAGGACTCGCATTGCCGACCCTTCTAGTACACAACCCAAGATCAAGCCCGCGTGCCTTGGTAGGGGGAATCGACAGGGCCAGCGGGCGGATTGCATGGCTGCGAGGCTTCGTGAGGATCAAGAAAGGGATGGCCGACAGAGTGGTGGCGCAGGCTGCGGTAATCACTGCAATCCGCAGGGGACCTGCGAAATGTACGCGCGAGCGTGAGCAGGTGGACAGCCAGCGGGGGGTTTGTGCACATGCCGCAGTTGTGTGCGCTGGCAGCGGGTGAGTGTCATTTGGGTCGGGGACTGCTGTTCTTTAGTTCTCCCAGCGGGCAAAACAGCGCCCGTCATGCGTCATCATGAGTTTCGCCGTGACGTGCTACGCGCCAACGTGGCAACCCACCGGCATCGAAGCCGAGCGCGCTGGCGGCTGCCCACGTCGAGAGGTGAATGACCGCAGTGCCGAAGCCTGTGATGCCCTGGTGAATTGTAGGGTGTTGGGGAGGTGGCACGGCCGGATGGCACCTAGGCACCCTGGATGAAAGCTGCATACAGGCACGCACACACCAACGCGCGTGTGTGCTGCTGCCCCGTTAGTGAATTTTCATGCACGCGGTCGACATGTTGTGAGAGCCTGCCAGCTTGAAGAATGCTGCTTACCGTCACCGTGCTGCCCAGAAAGGTTCCCAAACACAGAACAACATAGGACACCAGGCCGGGCCGCACACTGTCCGGCAGCGGCGCGGCGGCCGCCCACAGCATCAGGCTGTAGAAGCTGCTGCCATCAGCGGGCAGCGGCATCATGCCCGCGCCTGGCCGCGCTGCAACTACACTACCAACACCCGTGATTTCCGCGCAATTTTTCTCACACGTTTCCGGGTCTCTACGCGATGGCGCTGGCCGCGTCCTCAATGGCGTGACGCGAGCCTAATTATGATTTGACAATCGACGCGGGGTGTTTATTGACGTCCTTTACTGATTGACGTTATCGAACTGATTATACAAACAATTGCTCGAACGTTCTGGTCGTCTGATCACAGATCCACAGCGGTGTGCACGGCGTCGCCCGGCCACCATGGGCCGTGCCGCTCCGACATGCCAAATGGTGGCGATGCTGCTGCTGCCGCTGCTGCTGCTGGGCGCTGCAGCAGCAACCCGCAGTGGAAGCCCCGGTAGCTTTCAGGAAGGGCTGATCAAGGAGCCATTTGGCGGCCAGACCGCCGCCGCTGGCCGCAGGTGAGTGCCAGCCGCAGCAGGGTGACGCAGGTGACACCACGCCCCGGCAGACGGAGCCGCGCGGACACGCAACAGTCGCATTTGGGATCCAAGCCGCCCGCCAGCCCAGAACAATTCATGTGGTCATGCACATGCGACGGTTTCTGCAGTGTTGCCAAGGCATAGACAGATGTGTAAACTACACACGCAGCGGCCTGCTGTGACGCCTCTCACCCCTGGCAGCCAAAAAAAACATGCCAACTATACATGTACCATCACAGGAAGCCCAACTTCGTGTTCATTCTTGTCGATGACCAAGACAAGGCAAGCGGGTATCCTGAAGGGGAGCAAGAGCAGGCTGTGCCCGCGGCAGGGCCACGTGCCTCTGCGCGCTGTGCGGCCGCCTGGGCGGTCTGCTATGCAGCTAAGGCACAGTGTGCTGAGAAGGAGAGCGGCAAGGGCACCACAGGCGCGCTGCCCACTTCGACCTGGTGGCCCGTCCACCCCAACTTCATGTGGATGCAGCCTGCAATAGTTTTGCCGTGCTGAATCCCTCGCTGCCCCCTCGTGAGGTGTGCACCCCAGCGCTGCGGCCCCCACTTAACGCTGCCGCCCCGCTCACGCCTGTGCACATGCTACTCCTTTGTGCACCCGCAGCAATACGGTTCCTCTAGCCCACCCTACATGCCGGCGCTTCACAAGCACATCAGGCAGCGCGGCGTGGAGGCTGTCAACCACTACGTGACCACCCCTGTGTGCTGCCCGTCACGCACCAACATATTGCTGGGGAAGTACACCCACGTGACCAACATGTCAGACGTGTTCCCACCCCATGGTGCAGTGCGGTGCAATCATGACCCGTCTTCTGTCAACCTGGGCTTATACATTGGGTGATTGCCACCCCAAGCAAGGGGCAAGCTGGAGGATTGTGATTGTTGCATCCTGCAATCCTGTGCAACTGCGCTGCGGTGGCGGCTGCAGTAACCGCGGTGCCAGCCTGCCTCTTTTCTATTGATATCAATGCATATGCAGAGAACGCCCTGGCTTATTTGCCCATCCACGCCACAGCAATCAACCGTCGGCGCTTGTTGCTGCCCAGCAGCAACCAGCTCCATAAACTGCCCTGGGGCGCTTGCTTTTAATGTGCAGGTGGCTACTCCAAATGGCTGGCAGCGGGGCTGAACAAGCAACCCTCACTGGCAACATACCTACAGGGAGCTGGCTATAACACCTACTACACCGGTGGGCAAGCTGTCATTATCATGGGCGGCCGACTGTCTGGACGGGGTTCATCTGCTCTTGCTGCTCGGCCAGCATCATAACGCAGCGCTTGCTTTGCGATGCTGCCCAGCACCCCGATGGCTCAATGCCATCTGCAACTATTACTGAAGTGCACGTACCTTTGCTTGCTGGCTCGCAGGCAAATTCCTCGTCGAGTGTGAGTGGCGCAACTGCGCGGCACTGCTATGCGCTAGCCTCTGCTGTACTGTCTACTTGGATGGGCGGCGGGCGGCGCATGCGCAACTTTCACGCACCCGCAGCTGTGTGCACGCAGACCTCTCCGCCCCCAAACACCAGCCCGCTCAGATCACTGAAGGTGAGCATTCCCCACCCTCTTCCAACCCAACCCAACCTCCACCCCGCTTGTCCTGCTGCTGCATGCACAGACGCACTGTACAACTACCGTCCTGTTCCGGACGGCTGGACCGACTTTGATGCGGCGCTTCACCCATGGGTTTTCAGGTGTGCCCTTGCATTTGATTTGTATACTGGTTCGTATTGACGTGTGCAGACGCTGCAAAGCGGCAGCTCGCAGCAAATTGTTCGGGCAGCCTTGGGCACGTCGACATCTTTCATCATGCTAGGAGCTGATGAAGTAAAACGGGCTGCCAGGGAAGTCTTACCAGATGTTGATTTGTGGTACGGTCTGCTGCAACAGTTGAATGTTAGTGAGTTCAGTGCGGTCTAGTGCTGAACCCTTGATGGCGGTCTGAACTCGCACCCCCCTTGCCCATGCTGCTGACCGCGTGCAGGTACGACTACCCAGTTTTTGCACGCAACGGCGGCGAGCCCGTGGTGTACGCAGGCCAGGTGCGCTGCCTGTCACCCTGTCCTCCTCCACAATGCTCAAAAGTGTTTTTGCCACAGCTGGACAAAGTTGCACAGGGCTGATCATTAGTTGAAAACCCAGGTGAACGAGCAGTGGTTGAAAATGTTCGCTATGAACCGTGGTGGGCTTACAACAAAGGGAGCTTGCGGATCATCTATGCACCAGCACAATTGTGTCCATCCCACCCTCCCCCCTCATGTTGTGCAGTACCACACAGATGTGGTCACGTCCAAGGCTGTCGCCCAGATCCGCTCGGCCAAGGCAGCAGGTGCGGCCCGTGCGAAGCGCGCGCTTGCATGCGATGCCACAAGCATGCAATCTGCTTTTTTATATGCCTTTGCTGCAGGCCACGCGTTATCGTGCACACCTGGTAATCCCCCCTTGAAGCTGAGATGCATCCAGAGGTTGGGAGTTTGCACAGGTTGTGCTTAGCTCCTTGCCACGTATGCGCACACCCACACTGTCGCGCCCCGGCCACCTGCTTAATTCAGGAAAGCTGCAACAATCGCCCTCATCGTGGCTCACAACTCCACATCATCCACTGTCCTCCCGCATTTTAGGCAAACCCTTCTACATCCAGGTCGCCCCCATCGGCTGCCACGATGCCTGCTACGTTGACGAGGATTTCAACGGGTATGTGACACCGCCGGTGCCGGCCCCGAGACACGCCAAGCTGTATGCTGAGGTCAACTTGCCGCACGACCCCTCCTTCAACGAAGAGGACGTGAGCGACAAGCCTGCCTGGGTTCAAGCGCTTCCTAGGTGCGGTTGCCAGCTTGGCGCGATTCATGCATGGAAACCATTCGTCCACAGAAGCACAGTTGCTTACACACCGCGCCACCACATGTAGTTCAGACATTATTGCTGGGATCCTTTGTGTTCACACACCTTCTGACAAGCATGAAATCATGCTGCTGTGGCAAGCGCACACATCTTATTGTACTGATTCATCATTGCTGCAGTGCATTGGGCTGCCTGGCACCAGCCCTCCCTCGGCACCCGCTGCACATACAAACACCAGTAGAACATAATAGCTCACCTGCACAAGCTGGCAGTTCTGTTGATCATCGTGTGAATGACCACCTGGGGTCCCCACCTTTGTCACCCACCACGCCCTTTTCAACAGGCTTGATCGGGCAAACGTAACATATCTGAATGAGTACCACCGTGACCGCCTGCGCTCCCTGCGCTCGGTGGATGAACTCATCGACACGCTTGGTGCGTGGGCGCCTTGCAGAGCGTGCAAGCACTCAATTTGCACGCACCAGCTGCCGCAAGCAAGGGGCTTGTCAAAAGTTTAATCATATCGAATTCACTTTGTGTCGCGCCCTTTCATGACGCGAGTTGGTGCAACAGCAAGATACTTCTTGAGCCGCCGAGCCTCTGCACATCAAGCGGTGATGGCTGTGTGTGCTTGTTCACTGGCACAAGATTGCCTCAATATTGCATGTCAATTGCCGTCTATCCATATGACACCGCCCCCTCTCATCAGTCAAGGAGCTGGACGCGGTGGGCGAGCTGGACAACACATATCTTATATACACCTCGGACAATGGGTGTGTGCACTGTTGGAGCAATGGATGCGCAGGGCGTGTGTCAGTCAGAAATTAAGTGAATGCGCGCGAGTGGCAAAAAAATGCCTGGCGCTTGCACGCACCCCTGCCTGCAGGACGTTGCAACCAGCCACATCCACCGGCGGGCATCAAAACGCTTGGTGTGCTTACCTTGGTGTGCAGGGTCTAAGTTACCTTTGCCAGCCTCTGCACCAACCTCTGCACCGATCTCACGACCATCGGCGCCACTCTTACTGCGTCATCATTGGTTGTGGTCGCAGGTACCATTTGGGTGCCCACCGCCTGGGCGCTGGCAAGGAGACACGTGAGCATCATCACCGGCTTGGTTAGGGTTGGGCGCAATAATGCTACAAAAAAATTCGGATGCACTTGTTGCTGTCAACCCCTCTGCGAAACGTCACCCTCTCTTGCCCCTTCCCTGTGGCTCTCCGATGCAGCCTACCAGACTGATCTGCAAGTTCCGTTCCTGATCTCGTGAGGAGCTCTGTCACAAGAGGCAGCTGCAACACGACTGATGAGAATCGGCGCAATCCCTCGGCTGACCCGTTGCTCTGCCCCTGATCCATGATTTGCGCCCGCTCCAACCAACCCAGCAGCTTGTCACCCCCACCTTCCATAATGTTTCTTTGCGCCCGCCCACCTGCCATCTGAATCGACCATGCCCGCAGCGGTCCCGGCCTGCCCTCAGGGAAGGTCCTTGCTGATCCAACAGCACACGAGGACATCTTACCAACTGTGTTGTCTCTTGCCGGCGTGGCACTGCCTGATGACATCAATGGCCAGCCGCTGCCATTGCCGTTGAAAGGCCCTACCGCTGTCACCTACCAGCAGCCAGCTGGGCGTTTCAACCAGTGAGTAACTGGCGAGCAAGTTCAGGGCAGAGCCTTGGGTCTGAAGCCGCATGAAAAGTTCAATCCAGCTGTCGTGTCTACAGCCCGATGACTACCTGCTATATGGCTTGGGCCGTGCTGCTGAAGCCTGCGTCACATGGATGCCTTGCTGGTGCCCGCAATCACAGGCACCTTACAGAATATTGGGGGTTCTATGCAGACCAGTTGCCATCAACATTCCATTCAATCAAGAACAACACGTGGAAAGCGGGTGAGCATGTCACAGGCGGCGTGTCCGCTTGCTACTGCTTGCCAGCTGCCAGTTTGGAACTTGGAGCTTGGCCAAGCCCGGTGTTGCCAAAACACTGTACTGCATTAGCAACCCTTTGCAAATGTCTCCCAATGGCCTGCTGCACATCAACACCCATACAGTTTCTGTCCACGACGCGGCTGGGCGCAACCTCAAATACGTTGTTTGGTGCAGTGGGGAGCGGGAGCTGTACGATCGATCCACCGACCACTTTGAGCTGGCCAATGCTATCAGCACTGCCGACCCACATCTGATCAAAAGGCAAGGGCGTCAATGGGTTGATAGTGACCTGTGTACCAGCCCAAAGATCCAACACTTGTCAGGCTGCACATATTGGCAACGTGTGAGGTTTTTATCAAAGCTCCCTCACCCCAGCAACAAGCATCAGCACGCTGCAGCAATGCACAAACCACACCACGCAATTTGTTTCCCGTAACATCCACAGGCTAGACGCGCTGCTCAGCGCACTGTCACAGGCGGAAGGTCAAAAAACGCTGCACCCTTGGCCTATAATCCATCCTGATGGAAGCGTCAACAGCTTTGCAGAGGTGAGAAGTGCTGACTGCCAGTGGGCCCCAAATACCCCACAACTTAGACAAGGCAAGCACACTTTGATGTGAGGTGCAAAGCTACATCCTCAACAGCGCGATGTGCAAACTACCCTGCTTGTATTGTGCATGCTTGTGTGGCACATGCATCGAGTTCTGCAGCGTGTACACCATCATGCCAGCGGCGTGCATGCACACCCCAAAACAATCTGCCTGACCACCAAGTTTGTGTGCACTTTGTGGCACATGTAGTAATGGTCAATTGCTTGCGTTGTGTTTCGCTTGTCTCACACAACTGTTAATTGCTCCACCTGTGTTCAATCACGCAACCCTCTACACTGAAGGCTTTGAACCCAAGGTACAACGACTTCTACGCACAGCTCCCAAAGTTCAAGTTCCTTGCATGCCTCGACCACTACGAGAAAGGTGAAATGTTGATCATGTTGCATCGGTCATGCATGCTGGCAGTTATGCTGCCCTGAGTACTCACCCTCCCACCCTTCCACAAAGCAAAGCGCTCTCAAGGCTTTGCCATCATCATTTCATATCATCTGTCTGCCCTGTTGCGTACATCACGTGTGGCGTAGGTCGGAGTGTTGCTGGCCAGCCACTGCGTGCTCAACGGCCCTCAACCCTCATCATATGCGACCTGCCAACGCAGACAACGAGCTCTCAGCTTTTTACCACTCCAGCAACCGCCGCGCGACGCTGGAGGCAGCAGCTGCCACCGCTGGCAGCATTGACTTGAAAGCCATGTTGCGCATGCGGGTGACGCAGTACCGTGAAGAGGTGGCGGCCGGCTGGGAGCGTCAAGAGGCCCTCGGTGCTCCAAAGATTTCCGTTACAGCAACGCAGGCCAGCCTGTCTGGGCCAACCGCGACGGTGTTGGCCGATGTGGAGAGGTGGGGCACGCCACTGCCGCCTGCAGTTCTGGCGCACTTCCAGAAAATGAAGGCCGAGCAGGTGGACGAGGCCAAGTATGTGCGGATGCGCACCATGGCATGATGTTGTAAACACATAGCCTTTTTTTATACATGTGAAGTTACATGACAGAAGCCTTGCTTTCCATTCTTGCGAAATCGAAGCAGTCAGTCATGGGTTTGAACGGAGCAGGCAAGAAATTATTGCATCGCACAAATCCTAGGCAGCCACAGAATGCAAGGATCCAGCAGACACAGGTACCAGGCAGAGCCACATCCGGCATATGGCCCTAGCCCCCCGCCGCCCAGCCATTTGCAGGCGGGCTGGCAACAACACAGGCATCCCGCTAGGCGGTTGCAGCTGGCGGGGCTGTCGCCGGGGCTGGGTCGAGCAAGCGAACGTCCATATCGACGGTGAACAGGCGTGCGATTTCGGGGCCAGCTGCGTTGTGGTCCGCGTGCTTTTGCTTTGCGCTTGTTGGGGCGCACCCACGCGCCGTCCCCGCTCACCTGCCACGCTGTCGGCGGCGGGCGCGCGCTGAGCCAAAGCTGCACGCCACATCATTGAACTGAAAACGAGACCCCAGCACCTGCCGGGCGCAGATCCCTCAGCTGGCGTGCTGCGCCCCGCCGACGTCGCCTGGCGCCACCCAAAAGCCACAGCAGCTCCCGCCGCAGGCGCCACTCGGCGGTTATTGCTTTGCGTTTGATACAGACAATCGGACTTAGAGCTTGTGGCCAGTCACCAAGAGCAAGGAGGCAGCTGCGGACCCGTCGTGAAGCGGCCGGGGAGCAGTTCACCGCCGCGGACGTCTGCGCCGCCTTCGTCGAGGACGTTCGCCACATGGTGCACGCAGACTGGCAGCGGGTGAAGGACTCCGTCACGGACATGGCCGGGGCCCATGCAAGCTGGTTCCCTAGGGGCCGCAAGGAGATGAGCGTCATCGACTTTGAGGTTGCGTGGTGTGCCGGCGGCGTCGTTGCCCGTGTGACACATGGGGGCTCCCATCCTACGATGGCGTTCTGGCTGGGCGGCGAGCTGCCGACTGCGGGGACTGCTGTTGGGCAGGCTTTAACGTCGGTGTCGTGCACACTGGGCGCCTGTGTGCAATGGGCTCCGGGCGGGCTGGCAGCCCAGACAGATGCATGCGCGCATACAACTCAACACCCCCCCTGGGGACGGCCGG